ACAGAAACTTTTCTAACTCTTAATTGAAGGCACTTTTTAAGATAATGTAAATCTTAATTTTATTGTAAATACTTATGGAAACGCTTAGTAATAATTATCAGTTTTCAATGATATTATTATTATTATTATTCAATTCTTACGTGGAATTAATTATTTAATTTATTCAACAGTTTAATAAAACATTTATTCAAGTAATTGGATTGCAATTAACATATAATTTAATCAATTTAAAATTACCCAACATGCACTGTTTAATTGATTGATATAAAAAGCTATTTTTATAATTATTTTTACCCTGTCGTACATATTTAAGTGCACTTTAATAATGTTAAAATTGTTTATCAGTTCTCACATGAAAACAACAGCCCTATTAACAATGAATATTCACATAAAAACTTGAACAAATGTTTTTAAAATAACCAACGATTTTAATTTATTGATTATTTTCACAACAAAAACCTAGTTTTTATGATCATTCAAATGTTTTTTAGGTAATTATTTAAAATTATTCTACATTTGCTGAACACATGTACAATTTTGCTTAGATTTACATTAATTTTACACAAAAACAACGATAACAAAGAGCATGATATTTTATACAAATGTTTTTACAATTAATAGGATATAAATATTAATGATAATAATAAAGTGTATAAATATTTAAAATAATGCTAAAGTAGAAATAAGATGTTTATTAATAGTAAGAATAATTATAAAATTATATAAATATCATAATATTTATAATTAGAAATAATTTCGAAGTTATTATTGTTGATAACAAATAGTGATATTTTTAGAAATATTACTAATTTAATGAACAGATGAGAGCGCAGGCATTAAAGCAAATAAATGATAATGGTAATAATAAGAATTGAATAATACTGGCAAACATGCCAAATAGGACTCACCATAAGGCAGATCCTTCTTGAGTGGGAACACGAATTGGTGTCTGAATCGTCGGAAGGGGTCGTCTTCGTCCATAAGTCGTGCGAACTCTGGGCTATCGATCGGCACTTTGGCGATGAGAGCCTTCGCCCGAAACACATTCATCGGTTTGTTACTCATTCTCAATGTTTTCAATTTCTTGTTCCCTAATGTGGACTAAAATCGTAGACAAATGTAAATAAGACTTAACTAACGATTGAAAGCGAATTATAAACTGTGAGCGACTGTCAGTTATCTGCGGTGCGAATGCAGTGTCAATACATAGGAGCGAGAGATAGATAGGGAGAGAGCGAGAGAGGGAGGGGAGAAAGAGATGATAGCCGTATGTTTGATATCGGGATTACAGATAACATGATATGTATATTCACTAATTAGACAAACGGTCTGTGAATTACACTGCAATCAAAACTCTTACTAAACGTCAAATCAGAAATCAATCGACTTTTTATGTCTCAATAAAACACTTTCTTATTTTTCCATGTAATTTAAATTTATATCATGAATACATTATATGTTCGATATCTTGCGATAATTTTTATTCAAATGCAGAGAGAGAGTCTATCGATCATTAGTTATATAAATTTATGATTAGTCTTAATTAAAGACTAGATTTGTTTATAAAGTAAAAGTAGTGCTGGAATTGAAGCGTTTTGAATAAACTTCTCAAAAACAATCTAGTTCATTGTACTGGAAATAATAGGGAGAGAGAGAGAGAGAGAACAGTTACAAGACTTATAGTACAGTACATTAAAGAAGAGTATTGATTATAACTTATAATTTAAGACATGACAGACCTGTACACGAATATCCATTTGACTTTCCATTTCTGCTATCAATTGTTTACGAGACTTTACGACAACTTTTGTAAACTGAAAATATATAAATTTCGACACTTTTATATCTATTTTATAAGTTGTTTTCAAATTAATTTATAAATTAGTTAATGGATTACATTATTTGATTGTTTTTGAAAAGTTTATTCAAAACGCTTCAATTCCAGCACTACTTTTACTTTATAAACAAATCTAGTCTTTAATTAAGACTTAATCATAAATTTATATAACTATTGATCGATAGACTCTCTGTCTCTCAGCTAAAAATTCTGTGATATATTAAGTTTTAAATAAAAAGTTGACAGAAATTATTGTTTATATTAAGTTTAATTTGATTTCTAAATAACCAAAAAATAATTTTATAAATAAATTATTAAGATATTGTCAGACATTGAATCAAGTCTTAAAATAAATTACTTAATAATAAATAGATTCTATTTTTACAAAAATATTTATAAAAATAATGTATAAAATTGAAATATCAAAAACTTTTTATAGTCCGCACACACTGTATGGTTGGTGTCGACCATAATTTCAATGGCACTCACCTAATGGCTAATTGTGTGTCGCCTTGAAATCCAAGTCCGTTAGCCCTTATGGAAGGTCTTTATGTCTTAATTAAATGATATTCTGGTCACACAATAGAGAGGGAAATGTATGGAGTTTTTTGATTTAATACCAAACTTGTGATCAAAATAGCGATCGCAACGAAAAGAGCACCGAAAGAGCAATTAAAGAGATGTTCACAATTGCATTGGGTTTATATATTGCCAGTTATTTCACAGGTTTTTAGTTTCGCAAATACTATGCATAAGGCTTTTGGCGTTTAGTGTCTCTGAGCTCTCAGCTGATGATTGTGTGTGTATTTAGTAAATGTGTTGAGAGTTAAGTCTCTTTGGCATAAAGTTTAGTCAAAAGGAGAAATATCTATATCGAAACTGGCCTGAGCTGGTCCTCCAATGCCTCTCATATTCAATCGCTATGCAATCCAATGCCTCTCACACTCTCATTATATACGATATACATATTATGTGTATTTCTAATATTAATGTGTGTTATTTAATATAAAGTATTTAATTTACATATTTAATTAGAAATGAGTTTATTATTTCATATGATATTTGAATGTCATTTTCCGCTTTCAAGCGCTTCTGTCTTCTGGTATATATTATTGCCGGGAATCGAGAGATGGGTTGTAAAGAATATTCACAAAACAATCAATTATTAGTGTTTTTCATTTGCACCACTTTTCACATGCATAACATGCCTTCAAAGGGTGATAACAATTGATTAATTGCATGTGAAATGCATATATTATGTAATAATTTCATGTCTATATCCAATGGTTTTTTAAATGTTCTCACTTTATGTTAGAAATGGATTTGAATTACAAATGACTTTCTCTTTTGAAATCTGAAACCATATCCCAAATAAGCGATTCATTAATTGCTTATACGATTAGATCCTATAAAATATATCTTTAAAAATTGAACATTTATTTAAATTTAATCTCATTTTTTGTGAAATCCATTTAGTGTTTTGCAACAAATATTAGCTCTATTTTACTATCAAATAGTCTCCAATCCATAGAAACAACACATTATTTAATGCCTTAAAATTTTTGCTATATTTTCTAACAGGAATTGCGTTCGTGTCGTAAGACTTTTATGTTGTTATCAGAAACATATTTTACCATCATTTTTGGTTAAATGTTTTACATTTGAGATCAGTTTAGATCCTAAAATGCATACGAAATATACATTTTTTCATTGAATCATAAGGTTTTAGAGCAAACCAATTGACGTCAAATTAAAAGGACCTGAAATGGTTTGGACACAAAAATGTTTGACATTTTTCGTTGAACTCAATTTTGTATATATTTTTCGCTTAAAATGATTGTATAAATAAGACAACAAAAAAGTCTAGACTTTTCTATCAATTAATGACTGAATCGATACTTGAATTTTAATTTATATTTAATATAATTTTTTGTTTCGAAATATTTCTTTAAAATCTATATAAAATACTTAAACAAGTGATGAGAGAATATGTTTTGAAATGTTAAAAATTCCCCCAAAAAATCTATGTATGTCTTAATGTCTTTCACATCATATAACTTATACGATAAGAATTTTATACATGTATTATAGGAGCGCTTCTGAAAATGTTATAACACTTTATTTTTTCTTTGAACACAAAGAAGTGTTAGTTTTTTGCGATTATCAGATTATAATGCATTGAAATACTACAGAAAATTGTCAAATAAATAGAGAAAAACAAAATACAATCTCTAAAATGCTGTCAATTTGTCTCCATTATTGACATTATATATAAGTAATCAAAAGTATATGTAATTCAAAAAATTGTTTTCTAAACATTTGATTTGTTTCAAAGTGTGCATCAAATTATGTTTTATTTCATGCATTTTTGTTTTATGTCACTAAAAATAACAAATAAACTTAATTTTAAACTCCGATTTAATGCATTATGATATACATGCACTCAAATCAATAAAAGTCAAAATCAATTGTTACTTTTTAATTACTTTACAAATTAAACGTCAATTAGTGTATCAAACTCTTTGAGATAAACGACATTATAATTGATAGATTGATTGAAAAGACAGTCATATAATGTGAATGTAATTGAATTAACTAATGAATTATCTCATAAATTGAGCAGAAAATAGCAATTCTTATGTGGAGTGCGATTACGGGTCAATCGGATAATGCGGTATAAACTTTGAAATACGAGATTAAAGGTTTATTAAAACACATATGTATTTAATGCATGTTTTGTTAGACAACATTATTCACCTTCACTTCAATTGATTATATATTTTGATTACAATTAATGGAGTTTTAAAAATTTTGACACAAAATCTTTCGATTGAGTGACAAAAAAGCCTTCAATTAGGAGATAATTTATTAAATAAGTTTTTGGACTCTTTTCATTCTCTCTCTCTCTCTCTCTCTCTCTCTCTCTCTCCTACAAGAATCACATCTAATTTTTATTTTAAATAGAAATCGAAAGTATGTTTGGGTATAAAGATATTTATATTTAATATTAGAAAATATTTATTAATAATTTGTTGCCAAAAAAATGTTTAAAAATATGACATTGAATTTTGAGCGAAATATTCTTCTAAAATCTATCTCAAAGTTTTTTGGATTTCAAAAAACTTGAATTTTCAAGTTTGCCCATCATTTGAATTATATAAAAAAAGTTTTTTTTTGTGTACATCTATAATAAAAATGATTTTCTTACATTTATAAAAATTATAATTAATTAATTGAATGAATAAAATGGTAAATCAAAAGCACATGAAATGAGTGAATGATATATAGAGAGTGGAGGAGAAGTATATATAAAATTGGGTCGACTTTTGCGATAGCGATGAGCAGTGAAGGAAAGGAAGGAAAACCAATTGCATTGCAAAACCAAAACTAAAACTCTATTATTGTTTTTGTTGCTAACGAGTCAGTCGTCGGGAGTTTTCTTTTATTAGTTCGCAAATCATTGGCTCTGAGTTTAAAATAACTCTTGATATCAATTATGATTAGAGAAATTAGATTTCGATGTGAAATACATTGAGAACCACACGACAGGACACGACACGATGTCTGCAAATGTAAATATCATTATTCATATCGCAGTTTAGCAGTCGAGAGGCAAAGGATGCAATGAAAAGCCATTGAGAGAGAGAATGAATAGAGTCTAAAAACTTATTTAATAAATTATCTCTTAATTGAAGGCACTTTTTAAGATAATGTAAATCTTAATTTTATTGTAAATACTTATGGAAACGCTTAGTAATAATTATCAGTTTTCAATGATATTATTATTATTATATTAATATTTAACACCTGAGAGGCTTGTATTGGCTGAGACCAGCTCTGGTCGGTTTGTGTGTATCACTTCCCAAATTAAAATGTGATTTATAAATAAAATGCAAATAAATGTCAGCTGAGTTTCTAGAGTTGAGTAAACCCTCAATACATACATAAATTCTCAGTTATTTGTGGTTTATATACAGTATATATAAAATATATTTACAGTTAAATTTAATATACAATTAACTGTAAGTTGTTTTTTATAACAAATACTTTAGATGTGAACTCAAGAATCATTTGTCTTACCGGTCGGGGCTTAAGCCTAACGAGACTGACATCGGGTGATAAGCCATGTAATCTGATTTGTGACTTCACAACGAACTGGAAATAATATAAACTAATTATTGTCTTTGTTTTGTATGAATGTTTCGTTTTGTGGCAAATATTTATTACGATAACTAATGGGTTGTAAATAAGATGTGATTATTATATAAGTATTGCGTGTTTAATGCGGGCATAAGTCAAGTGCTATACTATGTTTAGAAAGAGTTATTGAATTAATAAATTTCTTAAACAAATCTTAAACAAAGTCTTAAACAAATACTATAAATGTTTATAAAAAATAAATAGAAATAAATAAAGAAAGAAAGAGATTTGCAAATGTATTTGTATTACAAACTGAATAGCAATTGATTAGTTAAAATATAGAGCATTAAAAACGTGTAATGAATAGTAAACCGAAAGGTTATCTCTAGAGAGCAAATTTGAAACACAAAAAAGCAAAAGAATTTTTTTAAATATTCAAAATAAGCGGAAATATAATTAGTTAGTAATTAATTTGTTATGCAATAGTTTGACATTAAATGAGATAATGATTTGCATATGTAATGTGCATTAGGAAGGGAAGGGGTGGGGAAGGGATGGGTCGGTGTGTGTCTATATGTAATACCATATCAGAGCTGAACGCGTGCTCCTCAATAATAATCTTATGTCTTCGCTGTGAAGGCCGATAGAAAGTGGATAACAAGAGGTGGAGATTGACTGTGAGTGCGTTCATGAGAGCC